TTCTATTATATGTATTCACAAATCTTATTCTATCAAATTTATTTTATATTGTGACAGGTCCAATAGTAGAAGACTAATCCCTATCTTACTCTCAACCTGGCCAAATAATTTGTTCCATTCACATAATGGGGATCAAATTCTCAACTTCATGCTTAAAGGACAAGGTGCTGAACCAACAATCGTTATGTTATGGACTCGTGTCCAGTATGTATTGTGAACACGATAACGGTGTCGTTAGTGGCACCGTTATCTTCCACTTAAAAAAAAAAAAATTCAGACCTCTTCGTTATAGGAGTATATGTTCATAATTTTATCACTATATGTTCATAATTGTAAGTTCATAATGTCAGAGCTCTGTGTTCATAATTCCATAACTGTACATTCATACTTCCATAACTGTACATTTATAATTCTGTAACTATACATTCATAATTCAATAACTGTAAATTCATAATTTTCGAAGCTCTATGCTCACAATTTTAAAGCTCTATGTTCACAATTTTAGAGTTCTATGTTCATAATTTTATCACTATATGTTCATATTGTAAGTTCATAATGTCAGAGCTCTGTGTTCATAATTCCATAACTGTACATTTATAATTCCATAACTGTACATTCATAATTCCATAACTGTACATTTATAATTCTATAAATGTACATTCATAATTCCCTAACTATACATTCATAATTCCATAACTGTACATTCATAATTCTATAAATGTACATTCATAATTCCCTAACTGTACATTCATAATTTTCGAAGCTCTATGTTCATAATTGTAAGTTCATAATGTCAGAGCTCTGTGTTCATAATTCCATAACTTACATTCATAATTCCATAACTGTACATTCATAATGCTACAAACAAATAACGTCGTTAACGGCGAGACCAAATCAATTTTTTTTAACTGAAATGCCGCATTTTCCCTGAAAACGACATCGTAGCATTGTGGACACGAGTCCACAACATAATTTGCGCTGAACCACCATGCCAACCATGTTGGTTTTGGTTAATGTTTGTAGTACTAATATTAATCAATTATATAAGAGAATGTACTTTCAATACTCAAATAATGTACTTTATGTACACAAATAATGTACTTTTTATTTATGATCTACACAATAATGATTGAAAAGAAAATAAAATATTAACACAAGTCAAACCCATAACCTCCAGTGTAACAACACTATAAGTACCAATCATCCAAGCAACTCAAGATATCATGTGCAAGAATGTGAATGTTCTATTTATCCGTGTGAAGATCGTTGACATCTAAGCAGTGAGAGGATATGCACGTGTGTGACCAATAATAAAGACTAATTGATGTCGTACATTTGTCAATTACCCGGAAGACATCTACACTATAAATAGACAATCTTACTCCTTCCTTAAGACATTATCCCTTGACCCGGCCAGTACATCCCTCCTGATCCAGTGGCTTGTGGTCTTATCTAGCTCCCATGTTGAGCACTTAGAATGATTAACAATAGTGTCAATCAGCACTAAAAATCTTTATATATATTAGTTTTAGTCTATGATTATCAAGTTACTTTCACATTAACCAACCATAAATAATCACATTTATAGTTCAGAAGAAACCATGTTGTCATGTCGCATTGAACATCTCAATACTATTTCGGTAAAGATATATGATTTTGAATAAGAAATGTGACAATTGTGATGATTTTATACTAAAAAATTGGTGAAAGTAACAAAAATTGAAAGTCATGCACCAAAAGTAACAAAACTAATATTTTTTTTTATACTACTGACTTTGTTACAATATAAACACAATTAATACTTATGAATTAAATATAAAAATAATATAACAATTATATATGCAACCAAAAGTGAAAACAATTATTCTTAAAAATTTTTAAAAATTACTGATATCTTTAATCATGGTGAATATAAAAATTTAAATTAATAAATTATATATATAGACTTACTATCGCCTTAACCTTTTGATTAGGTAATACAATATATATATATATATATATATATATATATATATATATATATAGGAGCGCTCACATGTGGCCATGTTGTTAGGTGTGGTCATATGGTCAATTATAGACCATTAGATTAGATAGATCTAATGATTCATATTAATCAAGATTTTTTCCAGTATTTTCGCGCACATTCTCCTACCCAGAGAACTGTAAGGGTAAACTTGTCATAAAACACCGGAATAGGAAAAATCACATTGTTGTGTGTTTTATTACACTATTGGTGCATGTTGTCAACACTGTTGGTGTATTCTGGAACCCGACCGCTATAAATGGCCATTGTAATTACCATAACACGGGAATACACCATTGGTGTGTTTCACTGTGGTGTGTTTTATTACACTATTGGTGTATGTTGTCAACACTGTTGGTGTATTCTGGAACCCGCCCGCTATAAATGGTCACTGTAATTACCATAACACCCCCACTTACTAAAACGCGCGAAAATTCTCAGAATTACCACTGCCTTTAGATTAAACTGATTCAACGACCCAGATACGACCACACGACCATACCTAATGACATGACCACATATGAGCGTTTTTCTATATATATATATATATATATATATATATATATATATATATATATATATATATAGTCTTCGAACTCCCCATTTAAAATTTTCTGCAAGTAATTAAATAATTAAAATTATATCCCCAACCAATAATTCCATTATTTTTTATTTAAACAAATACAAAAACTTGAATTCCATATTCGGAGAAATTGACAGTAGAACCGATTTAAATAAGAAGTAAGAAAAAGTAGAATACCATTTAGTTTGGTCATATGTCCGTTCACATAGCACAAATCACAATGGAGTTAATAAAAATATTTCCAATTCGATCTATAACCTCGAAATCTCTATAATAAGTTATCTTTTAATTTCAATCATGACCAAACGCTCCATTATTTACAATCATTTCTAGATTGACTAATAAATTAATATTTATATTTAGATTAGGTACTAATACGAAAAGATAAATTAAAGTTTATAAGACGGCAGTGTATAATAGAAAACAAAAGTATCATAACAGATCTCCAAATAATTAATATGAGATAATAAGTTGATATCAAATTAGTTAAAATTAAACTCAAAGACTTATCAATTACTAATTAAGAAATTAATCATTAAATTTAAAAAACAAAATCTTAAATGTCTATTTGTACTTAATACAAGAAGTTTGCGCACTGACTTTGTGAAAACATGTCCTCCCATAGTGCCTAATACAAGGTGCCATTTTCCTCTCTAAACAATTATTGGATAATAATCGATTCTAAATTAGTTATAACTTGAAGTCGCAAATTATGCCATGGAATCGTGTTCACCGAGAATGGTGAACACAAGGCAAAACGACGTCGTTTTTAGGCAAAAAAAAAAAAAAAAAATCGCGGATGTGGAGTTAACGGCGCGCGTTTGATCAAATTATGAATTTTCTGTTATGAGATTATGAATTTTATGAAAATTCATAATCTCATAACAGAAAATTCATAATCGCATAACAGAAAATTCATAATCTCACAACTGAAAATTCATAATCTCATAACAGAAAATTCATAATCTTATAACAGAAAATTCATAATCTCATGGTTCCAAAGTGAATGTGTAGACATGGTTCCAAAGTGAATGTGCAGGCATGGATTCATAATTTATGAATGTCCGTGATTTCGGACGGGAATATGTAGGCATGGTTCCAAAGTGAATGTGCAAGCATGAATTCATAATTTATGAATGTCCGAAATTATGAATGTAATGAAAATTCATAATCTCATAACAGAAAATTCATAATCGCATAACAGAAAATTCATAATCTCATAACTGAAAATTCATAATCTCATAACAGAAAATTCATAATCTTATAACAGAAAATTCATAATCTCATGGTTCCAAAGTGAATGTGTAGGCATGGTTCCAAAGTGAACGTGCAGCCATGGATTCATAATTTATGAATGTCCGTGATTTCGGACGGGAATGTGTAGGCATGGTTCCAAAGTGAATGTGCAGGCATGAATTCATAATTTATGAATGTCCGAAATCTTTGTTCACCTCAAATTAAAGTGAAACCGCAAAATGTGAAAATAAAGAAGAAAAGTCACGCAATTAAAAAAAAAAAAAAAAAAAAAAAAAAAAAAAAAGATAATGGTGTACTAACACCGTTAGAACCGTGTTCACCATGAATGGTGAACACGGTTCCATGGCATAACGTCTGACTTGAAGTGGTTATCGTCACTAAAAAAAATTATGATACCTATATGTGCGTGTATTGGATCAAATGTGAATCATTTTTCAAGTAAAAAACTGCAAACTTTAATTATCTTGTTTGTTGATATGAGAATGATCAACAACGGTAAAGTAAGGGATATATGGAAAAATACGATGATATTTTAGCAAATATTTTAAAATTTAAAGTGTATCAACCAACTGCTCTAAACAATAAATGAAGTGCACTCTCTTAAGTGCATTTCCGCATATTATTAGATGCACTTTCAAAGTTTTAAATATTTGCAAAAAATCTTTACATTTTTTTCAAATTTCCTCACTTTAGAGTCGTCGATCTCTCTAGATCAACGTACAGTTAAAATTATTAATTTGTATTTTTATTTAGACACGGATTCTCATGTGATCTCATCTTTATATATATGATTATATGGGGTACGTGTATATCAATTTAATTTGTTATGGACATTGAATATATATTGTTTGATAAAGTCAAGTGGTCCAATCATGCCACATTCGTGGTGTATATAAAATTTAATTTGCTGCATTGAAATAGAAATATATATATGTGTATAATTTTGAACAAGTCATGTGGTGCATCCTTTCCTTAATCACCTCTCATCATAAGTCAGCGAGTGCCATATTCCCATTCCCCTAACGCGTATGTGAAGTCAAATTAAAAGTCACATTTTTACTTTTCCATTCTCCCTTAACTTTAATTAGTATCCTACTTATACTATATAACTCTCCCCATTTTGATAAGACCTTCGTCATATGCACCAACAAAACGTTCACTCATCAATTTTCTTTCAATTCCCTCTCTACAACTTCAAGCACTCTTTTCATTCCAACATTTTATGTGGTAATTCCAATATATTTTGATATATACATAAAAGATGGCGGGCGGTGGTGGAGGAAAATCGCTGGAGGAAACGCCGACTTGGGCGGTCGCAGTGGTGTGTTTTGTTTTGGTTGCGATTTCGATTGTGATTGAGTATATCATCCATCTCGTAGGAAAGGTTAGTTATTGGTTTTGTCCTATATGCTATTGCTCTTCATCTTTTTGTTAGATCATGAAATGTCTGAGAAAGCCCTAACTATATAGAAGCATATTTAAAGCTGTATTTCATTTGCACTGAGCTGACCCAATTAAGGGACAAAGTACTGCGTATATTAGTTTTTTCATACGTGTGAGAATTTTGAACTCCTGACCTCATGAGAGTGCATGGTCACTTACGCCAATTAAGTCGGTTATTGTTATTTATTTTTAATTTCTTTTCAAGAACCATGAATGAATGCTAATATTCATAACTTTTTTGTTTTGAAATTTGTGTGTGTATTGCAGTGGTTGAAGTCCAGACATAAAAGAGCGCTGTATGAAGCTCTTGAGAAGATCAAATCAGGTTTTTGTACATATATACTTTAATTTAGCTGTATGGAAATAAAAATAAAAAATTTAATTGTATTATTTTAATAATTTGGGGATATGATGGGGTTATGCAGAGCTTATGCTGCTGGGATTTATATCGTTGCTGCTGACAGTATTGCAAGAGCCAATTTCCAACATTTGCATCCCCGCAAGTGTCGGAGACTCGTGGCATCCATGCAAGAAGAAGGGAGAAGCTGAAAAGTTGGAACCGTCGTCGTCTGAACACTGGGAATTGTCGTCCGAGGAAAACAGCCGCCGGAGACTTCTCGCCGCCCCAGGAGGAGTGCGGCGTGTTCTGGCGGCTGCTGGTGGTGACAAATGCGCTGCCAAGGCATGCACACCCCCTTTGACCAATATTATTTATTTATTTTTTGAGTACTACTGACTCTGTTACAATGCAGTATCTATTAATAACTATTTTCTCTTTAATTAATTAATTTATTTATTTATAATTATCTTTAATCACTTGTCTCTTACTCTTCAGGGAAAAGTGCCTCTCATCTCCGCCGATGGTATTCATCAATTGCACATTTTCATCTTCGTTTTGGCTGTTTTTCACGTTTTCTATTGCATTACCACTTTGGCCTTAGGGAGTGCCAAGGTAATTCCATCCCACAAGATTATCGATCAAAATTTTCTATAATATTGATAGATACCAAAAATTTACTTAAATTGTCATTTAAAACGAAAGAAAAAAATATATTTAAAATTCACTTCTTATTGACGATTTTAGATGAGAAGGTGGAAAGCCTGGGAAGAGGAAACAAAAACAATCGAATACCAATTCGCTCATGGTAAAACTCAATTACAAAGTAGTGATGTAATTGTGGTTATATTTTAAAGTATTAATTAATTAATTAATAATGTATGTTTTTTTAGATCCAGAAAGATTCCGATTTGCTAGAGAAACATCATTTGGAAGAAGGCATTTGAGTTTTTGGACAAAGACGCCCATTCTTCTTTGGATCGTAAGCATTTTTCAATCATTGATCGAATTGAATCTACGGTACACATGATATATATATATATATATATATATATATATATATATATATATATATATATATATGCATGTATAATACACGTGAATATATACATATAGATTACGTACAGAGTTGTATGTATATGTGATTGCGTGATACAGTTTATGACTTACGAGTCGTATATGCATCATCACACATGCATCGATGGTGTCTTGATTTCTGGCAACTTGCCAAAATTATGGCTTGTTTGGACCATTCCTTAAGACTAATTAATGATTGTAATAATCAATGATAGATACGTAAAAACGGAAATGAGCTAAAAGATATATAGCCATATAGGAGCCTATAAATAGGAACTATTCTTTTTAATTAAGACAGCTAATTTCCTTGTTCATACTTCACATTATTGGCCGGTTTGACTTCAATTATTTTTATTTTACATTATCTAGAGATAATTAGCCTTAAAAATAAAATATTATACACTTCATTCTTACTAATTTTTTTTTTTTTTAAATTCCTCTACTAGGCATGTTTCTTCAGGCAATTTATACGCTCCGTTCCGAAAGTTGATTACTTAACACTCAGACATGGATTTATCATGGTGCGTCAACATAGAAATTTACTTAAATGATTTTATTTTTTGATTAGTATATATGGTAAGAATAGGTCAAACTAAAACTGAGCAGAACACTAAGTCTCAAACAAAACTCACAGGCTCATTTGGCACCTCAAAGCCAGACCAAATTCGATTTCCAGAAGTATATCAAACGATCACTTGAAGAAGATTTTAAGGTGGTTGTAGGAATCAGGTTGGTGATTCATTTCTACATTTATCAAATTTCATTATTTAAAAATAAAAAAACCCTTAATTATAGCTAAACGTTTGTGTATTATTTGTTTTTAACTAACAGCCCAATAATTTGGCTGTTTGCTGTTGTGTTCCTTCTTTTCAATACTCATGGTAAGTAATTATCACTGCATGCTATACAATAATATATAGATGTTACTATACATAGCATGTTTTCATTCTAGGTAATTGAGATTTAGTATATATTATTGTTCATTAATTATTGGATTAGTTTGACTAATCTGAGGAATATCATATCTTTTTGGATGGGACAGGCTGGTATTCTTATCTATGGATGCCATTCATTCCCTTGATTGTAAGTTGCTTTCTCTTTGTCAACTCTTGCCTGTTTGTACATGATCAAGTTGACTTAATGCAATCATACACATCTCATCTTCGTTTTATAATAATTAATATAATATTTTTTGTGATTTTTAGTTTGTATAATATTTAATTATCGAGTTGAGAAATAAAATTTTGAAATGTTAAGGGTAAAATGTGGTTAATATTATATTAGTTTCTTAGTCAAACGGTTTGAGATGTTTCGAATAATAATGGTGCAGATCATCTTGTTGGTTGGCACTAAGTTGCAAGTGATCATCACGAAAATGGGGCTAAGGATTCAAGAAAGGGGCGAAGTTGTAAAGGGCGTGCCTGTGGTTGAGCCTGGCGATGACCTTTTCTGGTTCAATCGTCCTCGTCTCATGCTTTTCCTCATTAATTTTGTTCTTTTTCAGGTGCATATATATATATGAAAAAAGGTTTAAAAATTTATTATTACATTCCATTATATCGAAATTCTAATGTCATAACGAATATGTTCATATATTTTTCTTTTTTTCTCACTCAATGCAGAATGCGTTTCAACTCGCCTTATTTGCTTGGGCTTGGGTAAGCAAATGGCAATTATTTTTTTACACCAAATAAATACAACGAGAAAATAATAACTATAATTATTATAATTATAAAAAATTTAAATTAAAATTTAACCTCTTTTTTTTTTTTTTTTTTGTTTTTTTGTTTTTTTTAGTATGAATTTGGAATAAGATCGTGTTTCCACAAGCGTAAAGAGGATATCGCTATCAGAATCTCAATGGGGCAAGTCCACTTTTTAAAGAAAACTTTATCCGTTGATTGTTTAATATATATATATATATATATATATATATATATATATATATATATATATATTTCAAATTATTATTAACACATAATAATGGTTGTTGTTCAGGGCTCTTATACAGATTCTTTGCAGCTATGTTACCCTCCCTCTATATGCCCTTGTGACACAGGTAATTAAATCATTGTCTACTAAAAAAATATATGAAAAAATTTAGAACGCGGATCAGTACCACTACTGATAATACTTAATACAATTATGTATCTATAGTGTAAATTGATAGTTATATAGGTCATAATATTTGACACACACACAGATACACAGTTATATAAGTCATAATATTTGACACACACACGCACGCACCATGTTATTAATTAGTAACATTTTATAATAGTAAAAATTTAAAATTGTTATTATTGTGCATGTGATGTGAAAACAGATGGGTTCAAACATGAAACCCACAATTTTCAACGAGAGGGTAGCAACGGCGTTGAAGAAGTGGCATCACACGGCGAAGAAACACGTGAAGGAGAGCAGGCACAACAGCGCCGCCGTGACGCCGGTGTCGAGCCGGCCGGGAACGCCGTCTCACGGCATGTCTCCGGTGCACCTCCTGCGGGGCTACTACCGGAGCGACCAGGCGGACAGCGCTCAATCGACGCCGCGAAGATATAACTCCGAGTTTGAACAACACTGGGACGCCGCCGCCGACGACCATGGCTCGCCTTCTCCCACGCGCTTCCACAACCAGGGCGGCGGCGGCGGCGACGATGGATCGTCTTCTTCCTCGTACATGCACCAGATCCAACTAGGTCACATACGACAAGATGTACGGTCGGTCCATGATCCTAGGTCGTTGCAGATGGTTCCTGTGCCGCCGCAACATGAGATCAATATTGAACATAGCGATTTTTCGTTCGATAAGATGGTGAATTAAACTCACATTTGCCAACACCTTAATGTAAATGTTACTGTTAATTAATTTACTGCAACTACCAGGACTATGTGGTCTAATGGTACCCGGGTTGGATTTTCATTTGAAAGATTATGACTTCGAGCCTCAGTGGAGGCGTTATTGGTTCTTTGTGTTTCAGTAGGTTGAGAAAGTATATGAACAGATACTACAATGTAATAGAGCCAGTAACACTCAAAAAAAAAAAAAAAAAATTTACTGCAATTAAAATTTATTTATTTTATAAACGTCTTCTTTTTACTAATTCAGTCTCTTTTCATGTTCTCCACACGAGCCCACTAAAAACCCAATTTATTGCAAATTTATTTTCTTCTCTCACTTCCACTCTCTCTCCCCTCCAACTTGACCCAAAAAAAGCCCTAAAAAACTACAAATGGTGATGGTCTAAGAAGGATCCCAAGCTTAGGCAGCCTATACCTATACAAAAGTCAACTAGTAACCCTAAGCATGGCTAATTAGTCATATTATAAAATATAATTACACATGCTATACTAACGTATTAGGAGTAAAAATGACTCTCAAAGTCAACATATATGAGTGTGATCACACTTGTATAGTTATATAAATAAGGGTGTGATCATTAGATCTCTAAGCAACTTGAGAAATGTTGCCTTCCAATAAGAAATTACAAATGGCGTAGAAACACTACACTTTGATATAAGCAAAATGTTAGTACCAATTTTATGTTAGCAAAATATTTTGGCAAAACATGAAGATCGACTTGTAACAACAAATTTATTTATCTCTTCAAAGTGAAATTAGTAACTTGCGTTGCAAGAAATGTAACTTAGAAATCTTGGACAAAAAGGTGACATGTTTTTTTTTTTTTTAAGGATTCAAAATCTCAAGATTATTCCTCTATCAAGAAGGGTTCAAGATCTCAATTCAACAAAGATTGTGAATAAATAAGTGGTCTATTTAAATGGAGAAAATCAACAAGGCATGTAGAGCAAAAAATTCAACATTCAGAGAGATCATAAAGCTTGAGGAATTTTTGAGTTTTGTAGTTTTTTCTTGCAAGTATCCATCAACAATTGATTGTTATTCTAAGTACTTAGCTTGTAATGATATACTAGGTTGGGGTTACAATTGGTAGATGAGTTTTTACAATATCTAGTGAACTTTGATTTTCTATAGTATGTTAGTCTCTTTTTCTTTTTTCTTCATTGCTTTTGTTAATGTTGGAACGAGTGTTGAAACACATCGACATTTACTAAGTCCATATTCTACTGTCATGCAATCGTTATATCGTGCACTAGGGCGCACAAAATGCATTGTGCGTCCCGTCCTACCCAAAACGACATCGTTTTGGTGTATTGTCCAAAAAAAATTCTCTGTTTCGAAACACATAAACTCATAACAGAATACACAGAAATTTATAACTAAATCTAACATGATACATAATACACACAGAAACTATTAACTAAATACACAGAAACGCTTAACTGAATACACAGAAACTCTTAACTAAATACACACAAACTCTTAACTGAATACATAGAAATTCTTAACTAGATACACAGAAACTCTTAACTAAATACACATAAACTTTTAACTGAATACACAGAAACTCTTAACTGACTACACAGAAACTCATAACACAATACACAGAAACTTTTAACTAAATACACATAATGGGATTTGAGCCGTTTGGACGGATGGAGTGACATTAGTAATTAAAACGCGCACGTTTTATGTCTGGACGCACATTGCTATATGCGCTGTTGTGCACGATATAAATTGTCCTGTCATGGTGGTTTTTCATATTAAAATTAGGTCAACAAATTTTACGCAAATTAATTTTCTTTCCTTCTCTTTCTCTTATATGTTTACTTGTATATTCTCCTCGGCTTTTAATTTATTAAATTCATTGTGACACTTCGTCGATCTATTCAGGTGTTGACTAACTAACACCCAAAATTGATTAAACCCGTCATTCCGTCAAGCTGTCACTTATCATCAGTCATTTATAAACATAATTGACATTTATCAACTTAATAATTACCTTGTTTTCTCAAGTTGAATAAAAAAGTTAAGGTTATACTAAAAAATTTAAAATAGTTAATGTATCACATCCAACCTACTTTCGAAATAGGTTCAAAGATTATAAAACATAACAACCATGAGAGACAAATTATACTATATAGACTATGATTCATATTGCAATGTAGTCTAATATATTGATAAATATTTATTTTTAATATATTGAATATTTATTAATTATTATTAATGTATTGAAGATTCATTTTTAGGACATCTTTGATGATAAAGACTAGAAGGAGAAAAAAGGTTATTCTCCAAATTAAAGAGAACTTTCTTTAATTTTTGAATAAAAAGACGGATTTAGCGTCACGTGCCAATCGTGTGCTGCGTGAGGGACAACATGTCCCCTACCCACTGCTATATTATTATTTTTTGTTTTGTTTGGAGATGGCTCGATTTATTTATGAGTAAATACTTAAAATGGTCCTTCGACTATAGCTAAATTCACAAATTGGTCATCGATTTTCAATTTCAACCAATTAAGTCCTTAACTTTGTAATTTTAACACAATTTGGTTCTATGTCTATTTGACCGTTTGTTGACTGTGATTTTTGAGGATATATATGTAATTTCATGGTTTATCATTGGTTTTTTAAGGTTCCGGTTGCATTTCCAGACCGCACTGTTACATTCGAATCCACTGCCGAAAGCAATCTACCAAATCCGGTCGCTTTTCTTCATCCTCTATTTTGATTCAATGTAGTTGAGTTCGTACCAGAGCGAAGAAGACAACGTGTTTCTGAACCGGTGCAACGTCATCCAGGAGGCCTCCACGTGCTCCGACGAGAGCTGAAGGTTCTTCTGGAGATCGTCAATCACGGTCAACAAATGGTCAAATAGATGAAGGACCAAATCGTGTCAAAATTGCAAAGTTAAGGACTTAATTGGTTAAAATTGAAAGTTGAGGACCAATTTGTGAATTTAGCTATAGTTGAGGGACCATTTTGGGTATTTACTCTTTATTTATTTATCTTTTGGAAACCTTTCAATTTTTTTTTATTTTAAGGGTTTTTTATTTTTATTTTTTATTTTTAAAATAATAATATTGTTACCTAAATTTATTTTTATTTAAAATCATAATTAGAAATTATAATTATAAAATTGAAATTATTAATTATAAATAAGTGAATAAAATAATAGATAATCAGTAGGAGTGTGAAAGAGTATGGCCCACACAAAAGAAAAAAAAGGTGGGAAGGATTGAAGAGAAAATAAGAGAGGAGATAAGACAAGCCATCAACCCAACATAACAAGATAAAGTTACGAGGCAAATATTTATGTGGACCATGGTCCACACAGCGTTGTGTGGATCATAAAAAGGTACATTTTTAATATATTAAAAGTAAATTATTTGTGTACTGAATATACATTATTTGATAGTGTATAAAAAAATATATTTTTTATGAATATAAGATATATTTTTAATATACTAAAAATACATTATTTGTGTCCGAATGTACATTATTTGATAATATACAAAATAATATATTTTCAATTCTTAATAATATATTTTTAAATAATGTACTTTTTAGTTGTGTTAATATGCTTTTTATTTGTGTTCCACATAGTGATCCATAAATAATGATGGAAGCTACGAATTTTATTTGTGTTCCACCAATCCTTATACTATGGACCAGGGTTCATAGTGCATTGTGGACTCTGGTGCATGTGATATGAAACAAATTAGTAATTGTGTCTTATGTTATGAATTTCTGTGTTTTGTGTGATGAAATTCTGTGCTTATGAACATAAATTATGTACCTAAATAATATTTGTAAATATATAAAATGTGTATATTTCTTGCATTGTGATCTTTTGTGTCTTCACAGGGACGGAGCTACTATGGGGGCACCTGTCCCCTAACATATATATATATATATATATATATATATATATATATATATATATATATATATATATATATAAATTATTAATAGTTTGAGTACTTTAGTTGGTTAAACTCTAAATTTGATTTTAAAAGGTTTATGTCATAAGTTCAAATCTCATTAGCAACATTTTTCCTCCATAATGCTATGTGAATCCTGGTCCATTATATAAATTACCATAAGAAAGGGGGATACCCTACATATACACACTACTTGCCTCAAGTGAGGTTCAAACCTGTCACTTCCCACTTAGGGGAACAACCAGGTACTAGTAAACCACAAGCCACTTGGTATGGCATTATTTTACTTAAATAAAAAAAAAATCATTTTCGATTGCTGTTAGTTACGTAAACATATGTTCATAGTTTTATAATTTCACATTCTGGATTTATAGTTATGAAATTATGGATGTATAGTTATGCAATTCTGGATTTATAGTTATGAAGTTATGGATGTGTAATTATGCATGCAATTCTTAATATATAGTTATGAAGTTATAATTTCACATTCTGAATGTATAGTTATGAAGTTATAGATGTGTAGTTATGCAATTCTAAATGTATAGTTATGAAGTTATGGATGTGTAGTTATGCATGCAATTCTAAATGTATAGTTATGAAGTTATGGATGTGTAATTATGCAATTCTGGATTTATAGTTATGAAGTTATGGATGTGTAGTTATGCAATTCTGAATGTATAGTTATGAAGTTATAGATGTGTAGTTATGCAATTCTGGATTTATAGTTATGAAGTCATGGACATGTAGTTATGCAATTTTGGATGTATACTTATGAAGTTATGGATGTGTAGTTATGCAATTCTGGATTTATAGTTATGAAGTTATGAATGTGTAGTTATGCAATTCTGGATGTATAGTTATGAAGTTATGGATGTGTAGTTATGTAATTTTTTTAAAGTCAGACATCAAAACGACGTTGTTTTTGCAATCGTGTACACCATGCCCGGCAATCCAGCATAACGCTCAATATTCCACTCAGTGGTCCATAGAATACTAATGGAAGCTACGGACAATGGGCCTTGTCGGTCAATTTTCTTTCCAGCCTCCACTACGGCCCATCTTTTGCTTTGCTTTACTGTGTGCTCTGCTATCTCTATTCCCGTTTCCCGCCGCCATTTTCCCTCTCTTCTTATCTATTCACAGACTACTTTTAAACTTTTCTCCTTCACTATATATGTCTGTATCGCTGCATGCAAATCAGATTTCGCAGGGAACACAGAAAGGAGAGCGAATTATGGAGTCGTTTGAAGGGATGCTCACAAAGCTGGGTAGACAATTCTATGCGGTGGTTTGTTTGGCTGCGGTGTTGCTCTCAGCAGTCTTCGTTCACTACGTGTGTGCTGATGAATCCGATTCTGATTCCGATGAACGGCGCCGCCGTGATCGCACCATGAAACGTTTCCGAGCCTTGCACGGCCCTCCTCTTCGTTCAAGCTACCGCTAGATTTTTTTTCTGCAACTTTTTATGTATAGAAACTATTAGACTATAGAGTCGAGAAAAAGGAAAATTCAGGATGTGAACTGTGTAATATTTGAATTTTGTTCATGATAATAAACTCGTAATTGAATGATTAAATATTCAATAATAAATAATAATTTATTTTTCAAAAAAAAAAATTCAATAATATACCTCAATTTTCGAAAATACTCCGTAACATTTTAATGGTGATTGAAACGTTTCCCTCCAGATCTCCCTCTTTAGATGCGCTTTCGACGGTGAGCCCTCCGTTTTCCTGTGACGAGTACTGTGAAGCGAGCGAGGAACAATGCGAGCAAGGAAGAGAGAAGAAGAAGAAGAAGAAGCGCCTCTCCCCTTTCTCTCCCGATTTCCCTTCCAGAATTCTCCGTCGCCGGAAAATTCAACGGCAGAAAGATGAGCGTGATCGACATTCTCTTCCGTCTCGATGAAGTTTGCAAGAAGTATGAGAAGTACGATGTCGAGAAGCAGCGTGCCAACAGTGCATCCTCGGAAGATGCCTTCGCTCGCCTCTACTCCACCTTCGAGTCCCAAATTGACCTCGCGCTTAAAGTCATCTTCTCTTCTTTTTCTTATTATCAATGTAGTAGCGGTTTGCGAAACAACTTATAACAATTGTTTTTATATATATTTGTTTGCTTTTTTAGAAAGCGGAGGCTGCGGAGAGGGAGACAAACAGGGCTGCGGCTGTGGCCATGAAGGCGGAGGTACGGCGATTGAAGGCTCGTTTGTTGGAGGAAGTCCCAAAGTTGCAGAAACTAGCCCATAAGAAGGTTTCTATTATTCATTTCTGTATTTTTATGTGGTTGCTTCATCATTTCTTATATCTTATTCTTGATCCTTATTGAAGGCAGTATATTATATTCAAAATATGTATTTAATGTAATCAGATGATCTGGAGACTGGAGTCAATTTATGGTGAAATATACTTCCAGGATTGATAAGTGAAATGAGCTTGGTCTCAACCTTAATTCCATACAAACTATAATTCTTTAACAAGAAGGGTGTTCAACCACAAAGGATTGGTTATAGAAATAGTGAAACTATATTGTTCTGTTGAGCTGAATCTTTATGATGGATTTCACAATAGTAATAGGTTGGATGCTTCGTTATTTTATTGATTTGTATGTTGTTATCAATGTAATTTGAACCTTTGTGTCATTCTTAGAACTAAAATTGGAAGTTATATCTGATTAACAGGTTAAAGGTGTCTCACAAGAAGACCGTGCAATACGTGAGGACTTGGTACTTGTACTGCCTGAGAGGATCAAAGAAATACCTGATGGCACTACAAGTGAAGCCAAGTCTGGAGGTTGGGGGGGCTCATCATCTCTTAAAAACATCAAATTAGACTCCGGTAGGTGATGGTTGCCACCAAGTATCTCCTTAGACTTCTTTTCTTTAATATTTTGTTGCAGGTTTTCTGACTGTTAAAAATTATTTTCAGATGGGAAAATGGATGATGATTTCTTCCAGCAGAGTGAAGAATCTAGTCAGTTCCGGAATGAGTACGAGATGCGGAAAATGAAACAGGCTTGTAACTTGCATGATCTATTCTTATGCATGTTTTGTTTTCAATCCTTTATTGGTTTAGCAATATGAGCTGATTTCAATATCATTTAAAACTATATATCTGATATGTTTGCAGGATCAAGGATTGGATTTTATTTCAGAAGGTCTAGACACACTGAAAAATTTGGCTCAAGATATGAATGAGGTTAACTACCCTGCTCTTTCATCTGCCCACAAAAAAAAAAAAAAAAAAAAAAAAAAAGGAAATATAGGGAGAAAATAAAAATTTGTTGCATTCCGGTTCAAGGAAAATGAGATCTAATTGTTTCTATTTTTTTCATTTTCCATTCTTTTTTCAGGAATTGGATAGACAAGTTCCCCTGGTTGATGAAATTGAAACAAAGGTTTGCATGTTTTTGTTGTGTCCTTTAATTGATTGCATTATCAGACAATAGTGGAGTATCAAGATCCAATGCACTTCTTGTGTCTTTGCAGGTCGACAAGGCAACATCTGAGCTAAAGAACACCAATCTTAGACTCAAGGAGACTATTAATAATGTATTTGTTATTTATTAAAATGCAAATAAATCTGGTTTCTGACCCTTTTATGACTTTTAGAACCTTCTCATGTTCTTATTCATTTTCTAAATTTATTCCAGCTTCGGTCCACCCAAAACTTCTTTATTGATATCATTCTTATCTGTATCATTTTGGGGATTGCAGCCTATTTATACAAGTGAGTACCTTAACTTTCTCCTTGCTCCTCAGTTCTTGATAGTTGATAGCAATACCAACATTCCAATTAGCTGCTTTTTTTTTTTTCTCCGTTTGAATGCATTGAGGAACCAGCATAAATGCGAAATTATCAAATAAGTGTTGTAATGAATCCCAACTTTCTTTATGCAGTATACTTCAATGATTACCTTGGAGCTTCATTTATCATGGCCTGGCAGTGTCCACTGTAATTCAGCAATTGCTGCTTCCTGCTGGAATGCCCTCGGGAAAGTGAACTCAATGTTTGAGGATGTACAACTGGCAACTTTGAGAATATCAATTTGCACTAACCTACTTCATTCTAGATTCAACTGTTGTGTTGTATTCAGATTACTGCGAAATTGTTTACGACTGCCAATATATAGCACTGTTCACACACCAATTTTATTTATCCAATTTTGCCAACATGAGCTAGGCGGCGTCTATTTTTATATTGGGATGGTGCCATGGTGGTGTGAAATTCATTTTGATGCAGTATGAATTTTTGAGAACCTTGTTCACACATTATTGCTCAAATACTATTGTTCATATCAATTCTGTATTTGTTTTGTACTATTGGCAATTTGTATCAATAATGTGAATGCCAGCATTCAATTTGAAGCCCGATGAGGCAATGGAGATTCTGATCCCCATTCTGGTTCTTCTGGGCGCAAGAATTTGCTATATGAATATTCTCTTTTCCAGGTTTGTGCTCATAAACTGCTACATAGTTGTTGTCACTATGGAACTGAGAGGCAGCTCTAGCAATGTTCTCCATTGGAATGAGGCCTTGAATAATCATGGCATATATCAGAGGGCTATGATCTTTTGTTAGCCAATAGTTCGAATGTACATCTCTCACTGGATTGTTCACTGATGGGAGCCCCTCGTTCTTTGGAAGGTAACCTTGCAATCCCTGAGGACTTGGCTGAACCTCCAATGCTGCATTCTTTGACATGTTGCCTTTTTTTCTAACGCGACATAGTACCCAATCATCCAACTGCACAGGAAGCATCATTTTTAGACTATCAAATTATCATACACGTCTTTATCATTTCAATGTTCTCTGATAATTTGAATCTAATATTGTGTTGACATAGATGCTATGTTCTGCATGCAGTAGATCACACTGATAAAAGCATATTCATATCTGCATCGTGTTTAATATACATATACCCTACATTGATTTTGCAAGATAAGAACTTTCGCTTTTATGTTGCCAGAACTGTTTTATTCACATTGATTTAAGGAAAAGGGAAATGCTGTCAGGATTTGTTTAATACTTACTCTCATGGATCTTGTTACTCTTGCAGGCTGCTCAGCTATGTCTGGGAGTCTGTACTCCATCATGTTCCACTCAGTCTTGTGGCCGATTGGTGCCTTTCCTTCGTAGAACACCAAAGCTTTCTTCACTCCAATTCTTGATCCATCAAAACCAAGAATAGGTTTGTCTGATCCCGTAGGCTTCCAGTAACCTGAAGTTGCTGTCCTGTTTGGTCTTATTCCATTCGGATACTTCCTATCCCTCGGACTGAAAAAGAACCATTCATCTTCTCCAAACAGAGCCAGCTCTTTAGAACCGGGACAGATATCAGAATCAACAACTAACATGAATCATCTGTACTATAATGTTGTCAAGCATACACAAGAATCACTTACCAGGTAGTTCCCAGGGGTCATAGTTATACAGCTCGATTTCTGCAACAATGGCAGCTGGGAGGGGGCAGGATTTCACCTTGTTGAGCAAGTAATGATTGATCAGCTCCTCGTCAGAGGGGTGAAATCGGACACCGGGAGGGAAATGGAAACTGGAGATCATTGGTGGTTCTTTGGCCATGTAAACTTGTGTTCTGTTTCTTTCTTTGCACAGAAATTGATTGCATTTTACAGTACAAATTCAGTTTTTACCTTGCAGTGTGTATATTACAATGTACTACCAGATGTAAACTTGTAGGAAGTATTTAGGTCCTTTTAAGGACTGAAACCTTGTTTATGTCGAAATGGTCAATTGTTTGGATTTTTGTGCTGCTATCAAGGATGATAAATCTTGGGGAATATTTGATTTCTTGGTTACGTTTCAAAGGATTGCCAATTTAGATGGAGATAAAACAAGTTAGTGTTCATTAATAATTAATTATTCATGCAGCCTTGTGGGTGTCGGAAATCGAAAAGAGAGAGGCTAATATACTACTGTTATGAATGAAGCAACATTAAAAAGAAAATGTTACTTGTCTTAATTGAGTGTAAATCTTAAGCAACATTGCACAATTTGATATAAATATCGACTTTTGGCTGTCCGTGGGAGTTGTTTATTAGTTTTTTTTTTTTTAATTTTATTTAGTTGATTATGGACATCTTAAATTGGTTTATCTCTCTGTAGTGATATTAATTCAAAATGCACATTTAAGTAATGATTACATGATTTTCCGTATATTAAAAGAAAGGCATCATCAAATATGTCAATTTTTACATCACACCAAATAAAATATTTGTATCAAGAGAAACGTAAAGGAATTCTCAATTCTTAGTTCTTCCATCAGAAATTCCTCAACCCACACTATCATACGAAGGATTAGGCTTGAGATGTATCCGCATGGGTAGCTTGGTTAAGGCAAATTATTTTGTGAACTTGGTTCTACCTTGCAAGGTTAATCTGGATCCAAAAGTATACAATTTACTTACTGAATGTTCACAATTTTATATACTGAATGTTCACAATTTACATACTAAATGTTCATAATTCAAATTATAAACATTCAGTATGTAAATTGTATATTTTGAATCCGAGTCTACCTTACAATGTAGATTCGAGTTCATGGCATAACTGTTGCTTAGTTAATCCATGGGTAACAAATTGTGCGTAAGGACAATATAAGACTTGAGATATTGGCTGTCTTTAGCACAATTAATTAACAAAGTCCTAATATTATAAATCATAAAACTAGTACAACATGAGTTGATATTCATGATAAAGATCGACAAATCTTAACGTAGAAAATAATCACACAAAGCAAATTTTTCACGGACTATAATATATACAGTATATAGTAAGACTTGAAAATATAACTTTGAAAAAAATTAAATTTAAGAAATATAAAAGCTGATACATTGTGTTTTTTTTTAGGATAAGAATTTTAATAAGAAAAAAAAAAACACTTCAAAATTGAATATCCTTACAAAGCTTGTGCATAGGAAAAGACTAAAGTGTAACAATTATTCGGAAGGCACTCACTCCATCCAAATCCAATTCGGAACAACCATCATATTCTCACAACAACAAACCGGACCCCCACTTCACACGTGGCACAATCTTCACCCTTAAAATTCCAACGTTACAACAAGAAAACAATCGAAGCAACCCCAACGACCGCCGCCGCCACCATGCCATGCACGTCCACACCCCCAACAGCGCCGGAACTGCTCGTCGGCGAAGCGTCTTCGCCGGAGACGGGACTGTCAGCCGCCTTCGCCTTCTTCTTCGACTTACCCGGCGCGGGGGCGGCCGCCGGAGCCGGCGTTCCAAAGAGGCTGATGGGAAGAAGCACCTTGTCGACCTGATACACCGCCAGCTGTCCGTCGCTGTAAACGGTGTTGGCCACCGTGGAATCCACCACGCCGGTGGTGACGTTAACCTGGTTCCCGGCCGTCGTCACGTTCAACGGGAACGACCCGGAGCTATCCCCGGCCTGCGTCTTCAACGGGTTACTCGCAGTTTGGAACTGCGACATTGAAAAGAAAGACGAAAGAACATGAAACTGAACCAATTCCACCTTTTCCTGATCGGTCAGAGAGTTCAGAGTACCGGCTTTCAGGCCGGAAAAGGCATTATCCGTCGGGGCGAAAACCGTCAATCCCTGGTTGGAATTATTGAGTTGATTATTGATCTGATCAGAAACCTGGGTGATCTTAAGGAGCCGCATAAACGTGGTATACTGGCCGGCCTTTTCGAGGATCCTTGTAATGTTGGTCGGACCGGAAGGCGCCGGTCCGGCGGCTTGTGCTTCAGCTAACCTTATGGAACAACATTGGAGAGCAACTAGGAAGAGGAGAACAAGGAAATGCTTCATTTTTTTGTTTTTAATGTTTTCTTGAAGAAAAAGATGAATGTGGAGAAGATAGAGAGGAAAAGGAATGAATTGAAGAAGATGGGAGATGGGAGAGGGTTTATATGGAGAAGAAGAGGGAAGGAAGTAATATAGTTAGGTGGTGAGGAAGTGGTCTATTGGTTGGCAAACCCATTAGTACACCCATCTTTTTTTCTTATCAATCAAGTTTGATGAGGGGTCACAATTCTAGTTTCAACATTTACAATTTTGCTTCTTACTCTTTCTTTTTCCTTATTTTCATTTGCCTTCCACATCTAGTAAAAAACACACTAATAAGTACATATACCAAATCAAATTATATACTTTTTTCGGACACTTAACTAAATTCCACTAATCTTTGACTTTATAGTTGTACTAGTTATCACACGCGCATTGTACGAATAGTCTATGTTCAACGTATATTTTTAAATTAATGTTTTAGAATATCCTGACGTATGTATATCAATGAAAGATTATCAAATTTTTCATAAAAGTAAATATTTTTCAAGAATGTATAACTATGACATGTGGCAAAAATGTTGGATTAACTAGTGCAGTAATAACAATTTTAAAGGGAAGCACCCTCACCGGATAGTACCCTAAGCATAATTTTTGCAACACAAAACCCTATTAATTGGCGTGATCCATGCTTCCTCTTGTTTCCACTTCCTTCATAAATGAATTCTTGATTTGATCTAGCCTCCTGGTGTGCTTTACTACAATTTTAGTGCATTGGCACAATGCACCTCCAAAAATAGAACTAAATCCTCCTTCCCCAAAAACACAATGGTAATAGACATAGTTTCTCATCTGTGTTGAATATATACTATAAATTAGGTGTATCGTTTCATCAATGCCCAATGCGTGACTCCTATTAATTGACAAATGTTCATGTTAAATTTTATATTGTATTTTTTTAATACACTCTAACATATCCATAGTATATATTTAACAATACGTCGACTTTGATTGGGATGAGGTTCGAACTTAAGACCTTTCTTATGAAAATCAATTAGTAAGTTAAGAATAATAAATAGTTAACGAAATATTTCGTTATTAAAATTTATACTAACTGAATCCAAGGGTATTTAGGAAAAGTAAATAATATAATAGAGGGCCGGTAAATTAGGAAAAATAATAATAATAAATACTAAAATCAAAATAATATGAACAATTCATTTTAATAAACAATTACACCAATATTTTTTTAGTTCACGTTAGTGATCTAACTTTATTAGCTCTTATTAGATTTGTATATTGTAGATTAGTAATGTGATTAATTACTAAGTGTGTCATACTATTAGGTTGATTATATAATTTTTGTAAGATTTCCTAAATAAGTATTGTATTTTTGTATTAAAAAATTATGGAGAAATCACACTTTTGATCCCTCAATTTTTAGCGGATATGTAATGTAGTCCCTGCTTTTCAATTTGAATATATTTGATCCTTCAATTATTTCAATCGTAGCCAATTTAATCCTTCTGTGAAATTTTCCTTTAACAACCATTTATGGCCCGTTTGGTTCACGGAATAGGCCGGAAATGGCATAGCATCCCCAGTAATAGGCATATTGTTTTGTTTGGTAACTATTTCTATTACAGGAATAATATTCCTGGTAATAGCCTATTACCTCAAATAAGGTAATAACTATTACTAGGGCCCCCCTGGTATTAGCCTATTACTGAACGCTCAGGAATAGGTTTTAGAATCTATTTTCTTTTTTACCACTTTCTTTAACCTAATTTTTTTATCCTATATATAAATTTATCCTATTTCACCACCGCCGTCGCCACCACCACCACCACCATCGCCGCCCCCACCACTGCCACCCGCCACCACCACCACTACCACCCCAGCACCACCACCGCCACCACCACCATCACCACCATCGCCGCCGCCGCCGCCACCACCACCACCGTCACCACTACCACCGTCACCACCGCCACCACCACCACCATCACCACCACCGCCACCACCACCGCCACCACCATCACTACTACCCCAGCACCACCACCGCCACCACCATCGCCGCCACCACCACCACCGTCACCAGAACCATCACCCAGCAGCACCACCGCCACCACCACCACCGCCACAACCGTCGCCGCCCCTACCACCACTGCCACAACCGTCACCGTCACCACCACCACCACCACCGCCACCACCATCGCCACCATCACCACCACCGCCGCCGCCACCACCACATATTTTTATAAGGGTATTTATGTCTTTTAAAACATATTTCATTTCTATTCCTTAAATCAACCAAACATTGTAATATAATTCCTAAAGTCTATTTCTTCCGTGAACCAAACAATAGAATACAATTCATATTCTATTCCTTGCCTATTCCATTCCTTATGGAATAGCATTCCTATTACCTAAAAATTCATTCCGTGAACCAAATGTGCTGTTAAAGTAGTGACTTTTTAGGAATTTCACACCCCACTAATTATTTCCCCCCAATTAAGTTGAAATTAGTGGGATGTGAAATTCCTAAAAAGTCACTGCTTTAAATGGTTGTTAAAGGAAAATTTCACAGAATGATTAAATTGGCTACGATTGAAATAATTGAGGGATCAAATATATTCAAATTGAAAATCATGAACTATATTGCATATTCGCTAATAATTGGGGGATCAAAAGTGTAATTTCACCAAAAATCATTATGCATCTCGTATAAGACTCTCACACAAGTTTTTGTGTTCATTTGCACAATTCATTTATCTATATTTTGTATTCATTAGTTACTTGTAATTTGGTTAATTAGTTATTACATATTCATCTTTTTGGGTGACCAAAGAAAGCCATAACCACTATTCGAAAGTATGCACTGGATAAACTCCACATTATAACTCTAGCCAACAAAGAACCACAAAGGTAAATAAATCTAAGTTACGTTGTAGCTGATCGACTCAAACTAAGAAAATCAATAGGCCACTTCTATTGGGAATGGAACTTGAAATCTTATGATTCATCTTTCTTACTTCATTAGTGTTGATGAATGAAAAGTAAAGATGAATGCTATGTTATGAATGAAAGAAATCTCACGATCTCAAATACCTAATTTTTCCCTGCATATATATATTATTCATATGAAAACAAGTCTTTAGGTGTGGATGTCAGGACAAATTATGACTGTTGATTACGTATTATGACTGTAAATTATGTTAGATCTAATGGTTATTATTTATTGATTTGATGGTGTGGATTTAACCTCATGTCTTCGCCTAAAGCCTTGTTCTCATGGAATTAAGTACCAATATATATGTGTGTGTGTCGATGAATTAATATAGGTAGTTTGCTTGGAAATGGGGCATGTAAAAACGTAAAAGATGTCAAACTTCAATTATATTTCCTCCGAGTGGGGATATCAACCTGCAGACAAAGTTGTGTATGATTGCTTTGATTTCACTTGTGTCACATTTCTGGAGCTATCATTGCTTTTCCCCCACAAAACTTGAGAATGAAGCTTTTAATTAGTATTTGGAGAGGGTGTTTATATTATAGTTTAACAATTTGAGCCCCCACCCCCATTTAGCAACAATTTAATAAAAATATGATAATTAGGCTTCCCGTGAAAACGGACCAACTAATCTTATCTGTCTATATCTAAGATAATGATCAAGAGATGAAAATTAAGGAACAAATGCAATGATATTTCATATGTATTTATAAACACTTGACAAGTTGACATTGCATTTTGAAAAAGAAAAATTAAATGTCCGGTTAGTTATCCACGAATGCACTATTAAACATTTTTTAATACACAATCGTAATTATAGAAATGTCACTGCATTTTTTTCTTAATTTTCTGCGTCTGATCATCTTAAATGAATGGATGAAATTAGTCCGCACATTTTCAGGAAAACCCAATTCTCATAAGAGCTAGACCTATATATATATATATATATATATATATATATATATATATATATATATATATTAATGAAACTTATTTATTTGTAAAAAATGACAATAAAATTTTAATAATAGTATATCTTTCATTGAATCATTAACGTCATGTGGCGGACGTAATAAAAATGTTCCTTTTTAGGGAATGGTTCAACACTCTCAAATTAACTAGATTTATGGAGATGGAAAACCGTGTAAATATCCATCACAATTCACTCCTATTTTTTAAAAAATTAGCTTCAATATTTTATAATTTTAATTAAATATATTATCAGCAATTACCTAAAAATAATAACAAAACAACAGCTATTCTTCAATTTTATTTACAAAAGCTAAGACTTGTATAAATTTTGAACCCTAAACTTGTATAGATTTTATAGAAGTCAAATATTTAGACTCCTTAAAAATGGATAGATTCCTCTTTACCATTTTTAGCCACTGGTGTTCCCATTTTGATGATTCGAGCAGTTTGAAATTTTTATACACATTTGAGCACTATGTGCCGTGGTGTCATGAACTAAATATATTTTATCCTTACGAATAAAGTTTAGAGCAAATATTTAAAAGATGAACGCAATTACTAAAAAAAAAAAAAAAAAGAGTATTAAATACAACGATAAGTACCCCTCTTGGGGGGGGGGGGAATTATACCGTGGTCTGAACCAACGATAAATGCTGATTTTTAGTATACTAAAAAATTATTTTTAGAGTTAATTACCAAAATGGTCCCTTGACTATAGCGAAATTACCAATTTGATCCTTGACTATTTTTTTTAACCAATTAAGTCCCTCAACTTTAAAAAATTTAACCAATTTCGTCCTCCGTTAGTTTGACCGTTAGTCAACGGTTAACTTGGGACCAAATTGGAAATTTTGCTATAGTCAAGGGACCATTTTGGTAATTAACTTTAGGGGTGGACAATTCGGTTTAGTTTTCTCGAATCGAATCGTACCGAACCGAACCGAAGTAATATACCAAACAACCGAACGATATTGAATTCTTATATTAGACTTTGGATATGGACTATGTAAACATCATAACACATAATATAGAACTTTTGATAACAAACCATAAAGAAATCAAATAAAACATTTACGAGAGATACCCGTGAAAATATGAGCTGAACGACCGAGCAAGCAGT